GGGGGGGAAATAAACAGCCTCTCACACCGCTGCCGCCCTCTCGGCCACGGACACCCCCTGCCCGCCACGCCCGCCGGGGAGGGGGCAGTGCACCCCCCGTACCAGACAAGGGACAACGGCTTCAGCGTTCTCGTTCTCGGGTTGTGTAGAGGAAGAAATCCCTCGTCGAGAACTACTAATGCAGTATGGCGAAGACGTGGAAATTACGATGGAGAAAAGAGCGAACTTAAAATAATGTCTCCGAGCTGAAGCCGGAAAGCGCTAGAGTCGGTCGGACGCTGTGCTTCGTGCACGCATGTCGGCGCGGAGCTCGCGGCGCGGTGACCGCGGGGCCCCGAGGGGGTGATGAGTCCGGGCCGCGTGCCTGCTGGCAGGGCAGGCCGGCTCGGAGACCATTCCTCCTCCTCCTCCTGCACCTTTCTCTCCCGCCCGGCCCCCCTTTTCCCTCCACTATCTCAAAACCACTCAATTTGATAGCCAAAGTTTAACCGGCCCCCATTTTCCTCTCTCGCACTTCGTCCAACTCGCATGTCTTGTTTCTCCGTCTCACTCTCCCACCCCTCTTCCCCAACGCCCCTCTCCCTCCTCTCTGCCTCGTCTCTCCTCCTCACCCCTGCCCCTCCTGCTCCACGCCCAATCTCCACCACGTCATTACTCTCATTTTTCTCTCTCGCTCGTTTAGGTCGCATCGAGCCTCCGGGGGTATTTGTCCTTGTCGCTCCTCTCCGCCGGGCCATGGGAGGTGGCCGTGGACAGGGACAGAGCGCAGCAGGGGCGGCGGGAAGAGGGAGAGAGAAGGAGATGGTGGGGAGAGAAGGAGAGAAGAGACAGAAAACAGACGAAGGGGCAGGCGAGGCGCGTGGAACAGCAAACTCGTGGGGAGGAGCCCCTGCGAGGTAGGCAGCGCTGCTTCGCCGCGCTCCGCCGCACCGCGGGCTGGCCTACCCGCCGCATCACAGGCGCCGGCCGGCCGCGAGCCCGCTGCCAGCCTCCTGCCGTGCATCCCTTGCCGGGCTGTCAAGCAGGGCCGGGCCGAGCCACGCGGTGGGGCGGGGCGGGGCC